CCCACTGAGACATATTCCCAGCCCTATTCTGTATTTTATTTAGAGACAGGGTCTCACTGAGTTGCTTAGCACCTCACTTTTTGCTGAGGCTGGCTTGGAACTTGCGATCCTCCTGCCTCAGCCTCTGAAGCCACTTGGATTACAGGTGTGCACCATGGGGCCCTGCTGAAAAGACAGCCTTTTTCACAAATGGTACTTGGAAGCTAGTTATTGCTATGTATAATGCAACTAGACTCTTACCTTTCAAACTGCACAAAAGTCAACTCAAAATAGATCAAAGACCTCAGAATTAGATCATAAACCATGCATCTCCTAGAAAAAAAATGTAGGTTAATGCTCCAGCATATAGGCACAGGCTATAACTTTCTCAATAGGACCACTAAAACTCAGGAAATAATGCTGAGAGTTAATAAATGGAATGGCATCAAATTAAAAACCTGCCCCCCAAAACTAAACAATTAGGAATGTGAAGAGAGAACCCACAGAATGGGAGAAAAATCTTTGCTAGCTACTCTTATGACATAGGATTAATATCTAGAATATACAAAGTATTTGAAAACTATAAAAAATCCCAATTAATAAATGGGCAAATTCAACACACACACTTCTCAAAAGAAGAAATCCAAATGGCCAACAAATATATGAAAAAATATTCAGCATCATTAACAATTAGGGAAATGCAAATAAAAACTACACTGAGATTTCTTCTCACACCAGTCAGAAGGGGACTCATCAAGAATGCAAATAATAAATGCTGAGGAGGAAATGGAGAAAAATGAATATTTTTACACTACTGGTGGGATTCTAAATTATTACAACAACTATGGAGATCAGTATGGAAGTTTCTCAAAGAACTAGGCATAGAATCACCATATGACCTGCTATACCACTCCTCATTATTCGTCCTAAAATCAACATATTATAGTGCTACTCATGTTTATAGCAGCACAATTCACAATAGCCAAACTATGGAACCAGCCTAGGTGTACATCTACAGATTAACGGATAAAGAAAATATGGTATATATACACAATGGAGTTTATTCAGCCATAAAGAAAAATGACATTCTGTCATTTACAGAAAAATGAACAGAACTTTAGACCATTATGTTAAATGAAATATGCTAAATTCAGGTGAAGGGTTTTATGTTTTCTCTCATATGTGGAAGATAGTGAAAGAAAGGTGGTGTGGTGGGGGGAAGGATCTAATGAAAATCAAAGGGAGATCAGTAGAGGAAAAGGACCAGGGGTGGGAAGGAAGTGTTGGGCAGTGATATTGCTCAAATTCTATTGTTATATTTTGTGCATACAGGAATATGTAACAACAAATCCCATCATTATGGACAATTATAATGCACCAATTAAAAATGTGGGAAGAAAAAAAGTAATGAAAGTACTGGTAGAAGATATGAGTAACTGCTCTTTATAAACCCAGGGGCAGGGCTGGGGATATAGGTCAGTGGTAGAGCACTCATCTTGCATGTGAGAGGCCCTGGGTTTGATGCCCAGCACCACAATCAAATAAAATAAACAGGAAGTTAACAAGATTACAGCAAGTAAGTAAAAATGGAAATGCTCTTACCAGAGGGTAAGAACAATTTCTAGTTCTATTACCTGTGTGAGCTTAAGTACTTAGTCTTTATTTCAGTTTCTTCATCTGTAAAGTGGAGATACTAATACTTCCATCATAGAATTAAATAGTTAATAATATAAGTGAAGTAATAAGAATAGTACCTGGCAGATAGTGTTGGATGAGTGTTTTCAAATATTATTAAATATTTTCCTCTTTTATGTTCTTTCTCTTAAGATTCCTATTCTTTGGATGCCTATAATACAGTGGTCAACACACTAAGCTACAGTTATATGAGTGTAGCTCCTTATAGTTTAGTGCAGATGTTGGCAGACTATGGCTCATGGGTAGGCCACCCTCAAGCTAAGAATGGTGTTTACATTTTGAAAGCATTGTTTAAAAAGAAAGAAAGAAAGAATATGCAACATAGACCTTCAAATCTTAAAATATTTATTATGTGGCCCTTTGTATAAAAATTTTGCCCAACATTGGCTTAATACATTTCCCCTTTCAAATATATTTGCAATTTGAAATCACCACAGTATAGATAATAAGGAATAAATCTTTAAAGGAAGAAGGATGATTCTGGACAAGAAAGATTTTATTTCATTTTTTTGAATATTTGGGGAATTCCCAGCTCTCTGGTGAGATAATTTTTTCTACCAATGATTAAGAATCACTTCAGGGTGATTAATAGCATGGTAGAATAAAACAGTTCCAAAGGCATTTAAACTTGAGACTGAATGGAATCTCAAAAGATGATCCTGTTTCTTCTGGACAATTCTGTCCTGATGATGTTGGCAATCCAACTTCCATGGGAAGCCAGGATCATATTGGTCCAGAATCAGCAAGTTTGCCAGGCTAAGTATCCAGTTCTTTGCCACAGACATTTGTGGTAGTGAGTGTGGGAGTAGGAAAGCTGACTCAGCAAGTCTTTCAGAGAAAGAAATTTGCAGGAAGTAAAATCATTAGTAAGGTTGTTAAAAAGCAACTGTTTTGAAAAGGAAGGCAGTTTTGAGCTATCTTTTTTGTTTGTTTGAAAATAAATAGTGTTAACTACTTTAAAAAATCTCTGGGCAACTTTTACCTACTGCTTTAATCAACCTTGACCACCTTGTAGATTTATCATTTGTTTTCATATGTAAAAAAACAGCCACAGGCAAGAGAAGAGACAGTAGGTAGAGTCCTGGGTAGAGATAAGACATTCCTCTGAGGGCACTCAAGTGAGACTGTAGGAAGCTGACAGATGAAGTTGATGAGGAGGTAGGTGATACATTTTTTATTGAATCCAGGAGTCCCATCAGTGTGCAATATTAACAGCGTGGGCAGTGGAGGGTGACTTCCTTTCTGACCTTAATTGGGTCTTCTGAGATTCAAACATGAGTGGTCAAATGAGGATCTGTGAACCTCTGTGGCAGAGCAAGACAGGTAGGCACATTGGACACAACAGAACAGTCTTTAGTTGTAACATGGCAGGAGGCAATTTAGACTATAGCACAGATTCTGCATGTGAACTTGACTTTTGGCCTAGCTCCTGAGTTCTAAATCCATTTTGGGGATGGTGAGCTGCTGATACTGACTTTTTTTTCCCCCCCAAGAAAGGTCATTTAAAAAACAAATACCAGGGCTGGGGCTGGGGCTCAGTGGCAGATCACTTGCCTAGCATGCATGAGGCACTGGGTTCTATCCTCAGCACCACATAAAAATAAACAAATAAAATAAAGGCATTCTGTCCATCTACTGCTACAATAAAATAAAAAAATAAATACCATATAAAAATACCACTGTTTCAGAAAAGAAAAATATTTGTAAGGGAGATGTAATATGATAATATAAATTTGAAATTAAAATTAGAATTGTTTTAGCCTTCATAAAACACTCAGAAAGATGAAGACTTTAGAACAGTCTGTAGGAAAAACTCTTTTTCACCATGTTCCTATGAGTTTGTTTCATCCTGTTTTCCTCTTTGTTCCTTCATCTGTTACTCTTTGCCTTTGGTCTTTCCCCCAGCCCTCAAATGTTTCCATATTTAAATCACACTTTCTTTTTCTTAATTTCATTACTTTAGTAGAGACTTGAGTCAACTATTGGAAGGCAGATGGGAAAAGCAAGTAGAGGAACAAGACACTCAGTCTGAGAAGCTAAGGTCCAGAAGGGCAGGAACTTTGTTTTGTTTTCCACTATATATAAAGGCTTGTAAGCCTGGAAGCAGGGCCTTAGAATGCAGGTGCTTGATAAATGTTCATTGAATAAATGAATAAAATACAGGCAAGGTATATACATTTCTTTTGTAATGCTCCATAAATAACAGAAAGGTATTAGTCATTGCTCTTACTAGAAGTAATGAGCACATTTCAAAAAATCATTGCAGAAATAGAAGAAAAATTCCAATTAATAACATACCATCTTAACCCAGCCATTACTCACTTTTATTGTTATTTCAATATTTTATAATATGTAATTATAGCATATCTGAACTCAGAAAAATTTGGATGGAATATGAAACTTATTTTCAGAAGAACCAATTTCCTTTATGCACAAGAGATCACAAAAACAAAGTTATACCTGTTACCTGATCTGAAGAAATGTTTTATAATCTGTCAGTGTAAGAGGGCATGTGGTATAAAACACAGAAGACATGCCCCATCTCTCTGTGTGGTCCTGGGAATTGAATCTCAGGCCTCAAGCATGCTAAACAAGCTCTTTGCCACTGAGCTACAGCCCCATCCCCAAAGCATACATTCTCTTGCTGGCTTCTAAAGGGTTTCAATGTTCCCATCTGTAACATGAGAAGACTGTGGCTCCATAGTCGCAAAGGCCTTCTTTAAGTATGGAACTTAATGATTCCTAAAATAGATTTTGTTTTACATTATGATTGTAAAGCAATTTATATACCTAAATTTATATATTTTTATGTAATGGTAAACGTTAATGCAGACATAGGAATCACTTCCACGTAGAAGTAGACTTTAGAAATGCACACAGGAGTCATTTCGAATTTTTTCAGTATCGATTTTTTTTAAACCTGGAGAAAAGCAGTAAGTAGTTTCACTTACTAGATAAACTGATTGTTAGTGACTCCATTCGCAAAGATAAATCTTCATCCTACAAACCAACAAAACAAAGTTAATTCAAAGTGACAACAAATATGAGAAATCTAAGCGGAAGATAAAACAGAATTGGTTCATTGATGAGAAACAGGTTGGCCTGTGGGTAGCTTCCGCCCTGTCACGCCCTCAAAACCGGCCCAGTCACGCCAATCCCGGCACTCACAACGGTCTCTTACCGCCCTCTGCAGGGCTCTTCAAGTCGGGCTACTGAGGACTAAAGCACGGCCGGCCGTCGGGGCGCAGGGCCGATGACGTCACATATGCGCGCAGCCCGAAGCAGGAAGTTAGTCTTCTCCACTTCCTCTCCTCGGTCCAGTTTAGGATTCCTGCCGCGGAAGTAGATGGCGTCTATGGTAATCCTTGCTACTGTGTACAGTTCAGGTGAGATGGGGGCTAGCCGGTTTTTGTTTTTGTTTGAAAGCGTGCCTGGGTGTCTTTGGTTTAAGCTCAACTCCTTGCCGAGCTTCCCTTGGGGGAATAAGAGGGATGAGAAGAGCCTCTGATGTGTCATTACTGTGGTTTTTGAGTGAAGAAAGATGAAGCGGGGTTCAAACTCTCTACGCAAACTAAGGGGTCTGGGTGCCCTTTTAGATTTTGTAATTTTAGAAGTAATACTTTTTAGGTTGTTGTACATGGGGGTTAAGACAATGTGTATGAAGCATTTAGCTCTGGTTTTACAAAATGTATTCGAGATTTCACTACCCTTCCCCATCACGTTAGTCGCATACTAGCAGTTTTCTTCTTAGTTGACTGAGAGATATTCAGTTTACATGAGGTAATGCATCTTACAGAAGTATCATGCGTTGTTCTTTATTATGAATTCTTGGCAGTGTTTTGCCGTTTCTTTTTTGGGGGGAGGGGGTGCCATGTATAGAAACAGTGATTTCTGCTTTTCTGGAGGGATGGAAAGTCCAATTAAGATCAGTAAGGGGAGAAATGCATTGTTCCAAAGAACTCCATATTTACTTAGCTTGCTGTGTCAAAAGAAGATCAGCTGGAATGTGTTGCCTTAGGGCCTGTGATTAGCCATTTTCATTAGAAGCCCCTTAATAGGCCAATTGTAGAGAAGAAGGGAACATAAATCCTCTTCTTTTTTAAAAATATTTTTTTAGTTGTAGTTGGACACAGTGCCTTTATTTTATTTATTTAATTTATTTTTATGTGGTGCTGAGGATCGAACCCAGCGCTCTACCACTGAGCCACAAGCCCAGTCCCAATCCTCTTCTTTTATTTCCTAGACCTCACAAGTTATAAGTACAGAGATTTTCAGTGTGTTAAGTTTGAACATTAGCCCTTAATATATGGTTTTGAGAAATTGAATCAGTTTGAGAGAGAAATTGAAGACAATTATGAAATATTTATTATTTTTGTAATTTGTTGATTGAGGAAGTTAATAACTTAGGCTGTGTGAGTCACTATGACAAAATACATGAGAAAAGCAACTTAAAGGAGGAAAGATTTGTTTTGTTCATTGTTTCAGAGGTAAACCATGATCACTTGGCTCCATCACTGTGGGCTTGGAGTGAGGCAGAACATCATGACTGGGAGCACCTAGTGGAGAAAACTGCTCCTTAGAGCAGAGGAGGGTCTTGGAACAAAAATATGTCCTTCAAAAATACCCTTCCCCACACTGACTTATGTCTTCCAGCTAGGTCCTACCTCCTGAAGTTTCCACTACCTTCCAGAAACTGCCACCAGCTGGAGACCAACCCTTTAACACACGGGCCTTTGCTGGGGCGTTCCAGATCCAAATTGTAACAGGCTGTTTATTTACCTTGCTAGATATTATATGAGTACTTGACTGGAGAAGAGCTGCTAATGTAAAAATCATTGGTATTTTTGAAGTCTGATATTTTTTGTGTTATAAATTGAAAAATAAAGGTAACACAGTTTCCATTGCATAATTCACCCCTAGACCAGTTTAATTTGTTTACATTTTTTGTCTGATTGCAAAATAACATATACTCATTAAATAAATCATAATATTTCTGAAATGATAGAGCCCCCATTAATCTTTCAGAAATGTAATTTCACTTTTTCCTTTTGCTGTGTGTATTACTGTTTCTTTCCTTTAAAAGTATAATCCATTCTTATGCAGTTTACCACTGAGAATATCTTGGATATTTTTAATTGCATTAGGTATGCTACGATTTTCTTTAGCACCTGTATGGTATTATATCACATAGCATACCACAATTTGTTAAATAATTTTACTGTTGGTGGGCATTTGGGGTTCTTTTTGCTATAGCAAATGTTAGGATGGGCATACTTTTTTATAACAATATTGTTATATTTTTGTCATTTTTTCCCTTTGTTTAATTCTAAAGAAGTGGAAATGTTGAGTTAAAAGATGAACATTTAAAATTGTGATAGATGGGGCTAAATTATCCTCCAATAATAGTATTTGAGACTTTCCTGTTTTCTCATATGTTCACTAATGGTCAGTACTGTTAATTACCATTGATTTTCGGTTTAGCAGAGAACTGCTCATTCAGTTTTTGAGGTCACTATTTCATTTTAGTGTTATAATCCAGTTCATATTTCAGTTCTGTAATAATAAATTATTATCAAGTGATTCATTTCAGCAGTAAATATTTTAAGTTAAAGATTTGAGGGAAAACTATTTACGATGGGTAGATATCAGGAATATGAACCTTTCTGAAAGAAAGGACAGCTTAAGCAAAGATAGGGGGACTAGAATGGGTTCTGAGATCTGAGAGGTGATGATGCTAGGCAGTGAGTTTGATTGAAGATAATAGAAGAGATAGCTGGAAAAGTAGTTTGAACTAAGTGGTGAGGGCTTCGAAGGTGGAGTCTATTTTTTTTCTGAGAGGGAACTGAAAATGTCTTTAATTACAGAATGAGGGACATAATCAGATCTTTCTTTTACAAATATCAGTATTGTGGCAGTTTTGAGTGACTGGTGTAAGAAGCAAGTTAGTTAGCTGGTATGGCTTGGGGAAGAGAATATGAAGACTTTTAAGAGCATGAGAACAGAAAAAGGTAGAGAGATTGGAGTTCAGAGATGAAGATGAATCTACATGATTTGATGACGGTTGAGGAAGAGGAAGAAAGCAAAGTTCAATTAGATTTTTATCATGGGTGACTCTCTGAGTTTCACTCAAATAGATGAAATTACTTGTGAAAGATTTGTTACTTTTTAAAGACTCAGCATATATTTTCTCTTATTTTTGAATTGCTGTTAGAATTTCTGCTGAATGTTCTGTGCCTTGTTCAGCTCTGTTTATGTTAGTAGTACTTCAACTTGTACATACTATCAATAAAAAAGTTCACAAATAGTAATTCATACCTGTCTTATAGTGCCATTATGTTGTATACATTATACAACATGTAGAAGTGTACATTTTCAAAGGCTAAGACACGAATACATTAGAGTTTTATTATTTTTTCCCCCTACATTCCATTGGATTATCTTGCACCCTTCTGTAGAGATGTTGGTCTGATATCTAGCTGACAGTGTTCTGTCCCATTCTCCAGTAGAGGTCACCTTTGAGCGTGGAAGAGAGAACAGGCTGTTGAGCTGTGAAAGGTCGTCTTTATTCGTGAGTTAGAAGAAGGATCTTATTTCTGAATTTCTAAATTAATGCATTTTTGGAAGAAATGTTGTTATAGAATAGTATGTGGAGTTATGGAGAACTGAAGAATAGTAAGCTCAGTAGAGTTTAGATTTGTTTTTATTGTTTGATGTTTGCTTTGTGAATGCTTTGCCTTTGAGTTTGAATGTTACTTGAGTCTAAAGTTTTAGAATCTTTTCCTAGTTCTTTTGAGAATCTGTAGACTATGTGAGCCACAGAAATGTTTCTAGCATGTAGGCACAATCTAAGTTTTTGTTCAAATTGGAGTAATTGAAAAAACACATACAAAGAGGTTTTCATTGAAATTGATCCTAAAAGCAGTATGTTAAGCAAGAATTTTAGTGGTGGGTTGGAATTATTTATCTTTATTTTCTATTTTATGCATAATTGAGAGAAGGGGCAAAGGGACATGCCTCCTGTAAGTAAGATACCGTTGTAAGGAATTAGAAATCAAGAACTAAATTTGTTGCAGCCATATATTCTATTTTAAAAAATACTGCTTAAGCCTATATAACAGCTTGTCTCATGGAAGAGAGAACACTGGAATAGGTTACACTTTCTTGCTATAGCAGGCTCAAATTGTATCAGACAGTTTCAGTAATCTGTCATAGAGTGTTGCTTGCAAGCAGCCATATATTCTAAAAAAGAGAAAATAGTTTTTTTTTTTTTTAATCTATGTGTTGTATGATTCAGAACTTAAGTAGTTTAGGAACAAATCTATGTGTTGTATGATTCAGAACTTAAGTAGTTTATAGGAACAAATCCTCTGATAGATTAAGAAATAGAAGAACGATTTTCTGTTGCTTTCCTAAAAAAATATTTCCTGTGAATGAAGGTGCTCATTTAATAGGGACCTATGATTATAATCATATATAAGTTCGTAGTTATTAAGGTTTTATGGGGCTCGGGATGTGGCTCAAGTGGTAGCGTGCTTGCCTGGCATGCGTGAGGCACTGGGTTCTATCCTCCGCAGTACATAAAATAAAATAAAATAAAAATACTGTGTCCACCTAAAACTAAAAAAATAAAAAATAAATATTAAAAAAAGGTTTTAATCCCATGATAGAAGCTGAAAGTGTTGTCAAACAGGTGTAGACAGTCCTGGGTTAGTCTTGTGTAATATGGTGATAGGGTAGAGGAAAATGGTAAAAATTGCATTTGAATGTTTATATAAAGCTGGGCACATTGGCTTATTCCTATAGTCCCAGCTATTTGGGAAGCTGAGGCAGGAGGATCACTTGAACTTGGGAATTTGAGCAATATAGAGAGGTCTCATTGTGGAGTATGTGGATTAATTATCACAACTAGATTTTGTGTGTATTTATGTGCATGTGTGCTAGAGATTGAAAACCCAGGGCCTCATACATGCTAAGCAGGTACTCTATAACTGAGGTACACACCCAGGTCCCTAACTGCATATTTTTGAACATAAAAATTGTTTTAAATTGTTGCATTACAACCAAGGGGACAATCAGGTAAAGTGAATGAGATGGATATTAGAATCAGGAGCTGTTGACCAGAGGTCTGTATATGGTAAGAATTAAAGCTATAAAGCCTGCATGGATTTCAAGGATAGCATAAATCCAGTAAAATATATTTAGCTAGAAATCAGATAATCTGAGGTATTGGCTTTCAGGGCTGGATTTAGAAGTTGAAAATAGGAGACCAGAGGCAAAGAAGCCTGGTATCTAAGGGCAGGGAAAGATCAAACACCTGGGAAGTTGGAAGACAAGGCAGAAATGAAAATGTCATTTATTAGGAATAAACCAAAGGTTTAGAAACCAGGAGGACAAAGTAGAGATGGAGAAGGACTCCTGGTTTTGGGTAGAGAAGGCAAGTAAGGTCAAATAGAGAAAGAAAAAAAAAAAAAAAAAAAAGAATAATTCTAGGGCAGTGATGGTGCCATCACATTCTTCTTTATGTTAAAAATGATAGCAGCCTTGGGTTACAGATAACCAACAGAAGCAGTGAGCTAGAGAGTGAAGAGTGCTGAATTATTACCATTAGCACCAGGAGAGCTAAAAGTATAGGTATTTTCTTATAAAAAGGACCGTGATGCTTGTAGGATGATAATATGGTCATTTAGTTACTTAATGCAGATATTTGTGTAATTTTATGTGTTATTTTATGCAGCTTTCCAAAAGGTTTGGGATACCTGACCATTATGACATCAAGAAACCTCTGGTATATGAGAAGTAACTTTTTCTTTGGTTCAAGATGTTGGATGATTCGCTATTCAGCAGAAATCCTCAAATCAGTTTCATTTAGGCTTTTTGGTGTGACATGTAATAATGGAGACAATGAGCCTTTGGAGAATGAGGACCTATTGAACAACTTACTTACTATGGGAGTTGATATTGACATGGCAAAGAAACGACAGCCTGGAGTTTTTAATAGAATGGTTACGAATGAGCAGGACCTAAAGATGTTCCTTTTGTCCAAAGGAGCTAGCAAAGAAGTGATTGCTAGCATCATATCAAGATATCCACGAGCTATAACACGCACTTCTGAAAGTCTTTCAAAACGGTGGGATCTGTGGAGAAAGATTATGACATCAGACCTTGAAATTGTAAATATTTTGGAACGTTCTCCTGAATCCTTTTTTCGGTCCAATAACAATATAAATTTAGAAAATAATATAAAGTTCCTCTACTCAGTTGGATTGTCCCAGAAATGCCTGTGTCGATTATTAGCCAATGCCCCTCGCACCTTTTCCAATAGTCTTGATTTGAATAAACAGATGATTGAAGTTTTGCAGGAAGTCTGTTTGTTCTTGGGTCACAATAATCCCACAGATTTTGTCAGGAAGATAATTTCTAAAAATCCTTTCATCTTAATTCAGAGCACCAAACGGGTGAAAGCTAACATTGAATTTTTACAGTCAACTTTCAACTTGAACAAGGAAGAACTGCTGCAACTGCTATGTGGTCCAGGAGCTGGAATTCTAGACCTTTCTACAGAATGTGCCAAAAGAAATTATACAAATATCAAAGAGAAGCTGTTTTCTCTTGGATGTACTGAAGAAGAGGTACAGAAATTTGTCTTAAGCTACCCGGATATGATGTTCTTGGCAGATAAAAAGTTTAATGATAAAATAGACTGCCTCATAGAAGAAAAAATTAGTATTTTACAAATAATTGAAAGTCCTCGGGTTCTGGATTCAAGCATAAGTACTTTAAAAAGTCGAATCAAAGAATTGGTACATGCTGGCTATAACTTGAATGTCTCTAACATTGCTCTTCTATCTTGGAGTCAAAAAAGATTTGAAGCTAAACTGGAAAAAATTAAACGGCTAGAACAGTGCCTGGGGAGTTAAAAAAAAAAAAAAAAAAGTCTTGGGGCTGGGGTCATGGCTCAGTGGTAGAGTGCTTGCCTAGCATGTGTGAATCACTGTGTTCGATCCTCATACCACATAAAATAAATAAATAAGGTATTGTGTCCATCTACAACTGAAAAAATATTTGTTAAAAAATTCTTATAATGTATTTATATTATTTAATTTTGAATTTGATTTCTTCACCACAAACGTATATGTAATAATCCTTTGGGTATTTTATTTTAAAAGTTCATAAGAACTCAATATTGGCATGCTTAAGTGTAGTCTTCCTAACTACTACTGTATTTTGAATTAATGGCTGCTATATAGTAATGGTAGTTCCTGAATGCCATGTAAAACAAATGCAGAAAATAAGCTTTTGTGGTTTCTGTTTGGATTGAAAAATCAACAGATTTGGGCTGGAGATAGAGCTCAGTGGTAGAGTGCTTGCCTAGAATTCATAAGGTCACGTCCAACACTGATCCCCAGCATAGAAAAAAGAAATTGACATTCATTCAAATAGTCTTCTTCCCTCATGGTTTTGAATGGCAAGCTATTTCTTCTGTTATTCCAGTGCAATTAATTATGATTCATCAGTAAAAGTCTGACAGAATAGAAAGGAGGGATTTTCTCGGTTCCAAATTCCATATTTTCTGTTCAAACCATTAGTGTGTCTCCCAACCTAGGATTTACCATGAGTTTGTCCTGACAAGGGCAACTATGGTAGATAGAAGAATAATGGCCACCTAAAGGTCCCCAGAAACCATGAGTATGTTATAGTGCAATGGGTTTTGTAGATGTGATTAAGTTAAATATGATTAAGTTAAGGGTCTTGAGATGGGGAGGTTATCTTGATTAATTGGGATGGGCTCAGTGGAATCACAGGATCCCAAAAAGTGGAAAAGAGAGGCAAATAGGAGGTCAAAGTGGTGGAATGTAGAAACACTTGACCACTTTTGCTGGCTTTGAAGGAGGAAGAAGCCATGAGGCAAGGAATGCAGGTGGCCTATAAAAAATGGAAAAGGCAAGGAAACGGGTTCTGCCCTGGGGCCCTTAGAAAGAAGTGCAGGGCTGCTGGCACCTTGATATTAGCCCAGGGAGAGCAGTATCAAACTTCTGATGTGCAGAACCATCAGAATAAATTTGTGTTATTTTAAACCAGTGAGTTTTTGATAACTTGTTACAGCAGCAAATAGGTTAATAACTGATTAGTTGTATTTAAAGGAGGATGTCACAAAATGTGGTCTTTTTATCATTTCTTTATGTCTTCCTCTTATAAGAGTAAATTATATTAAAATTTACTTCTCTGGAATTTCTAATGTTAGTGTTTATGACTTCTAAATGTGTTGATAAAAAGCTAAGTGTAAATATCTAAATAAAGGAATATTTTTGCCTAATGAATGTAGTTTAAAGAAATGGTGGTCATGTATATTTATATTTTGTTGGCATTTCATTTAATATAAATAAACAGGAATTTCTGGAGGCATTGACTTAAAAATGACAAATTAGATCATGACTATATTTTGAACATATTCATAATCTAGCTCTGATAGCAACTGAGAGGAGGAACAAGTTTTATGACTAATTACTTTAGATTATTTTCCAAAGTAATTTGGTTTCTAAATATGGGTTTTGAATTGAGTCACATAACTTCATGGTATTTGCTATCATTAATGCCTCAAAACAACAACAAAAACCCACCCCACTAATTTGTACCATTGGTAGAAACAAAGTGCCTGCTTTCCCAAAGCCATTTATATGTATTGTAATGATCTCCAGTAAGGTATTTGGTAGCAAGCTTGGCATAATTTAGAAACCATGATCTTTGTAGAGACATTTCTTCAGAGTGATATATCTTTAACTTTGTGTAAATAATTCACTAAACTTGTTTTCTTATAAAATTAAAAACCGTGCAGAGTTGGTAAAAATCAATGTATATAAGGTATGTAAGATTTCTTGTACATAATAGCTGTTCAGTCAAGGATAAGAAAAATAAGTTACAGTAGTATTTTTTTTTAAAAACAGCTTTATTGATATCTAATTCATATACCATGTAATTTATTAATTTATATAATTCAAGGTTTCAAAAATATCTATTCATTTAAATTATACAATTTAAGATAGCGCATATGATCATTACTACATTATAATTTTTAGAATTTGTATCCTCTAAAAGAAACTGGTACCCATGGGCAGCCAATCTTGTTTTCCCCCTTCCAGCCTCATAGCACTAAGCAAAACCTAAATCTTGGTGTCTTTATAAGTTTGCTTTTCTGGACATTATATATAAATGGAATCATACGTACATAATTTCGTGACCACTTTCACCTAATCTTTTTAAGTTTCATTCATGTAGCTCATATCAGCATTCCTTTTTATTGCCAAATAGTGTTCTATTCTATGGATACAATAGTATTGCTGGGAATTAAATTTATTGTTATGGCTTGAAACACAAAGTATTAATTAATTAATTAATTGTCTTTGGAGTTGTATGGAAGAATTTCCCAAGGTATCTCTCTTGGGAATCTTTTTTTTTTTTTTTTTTTTTGAAAAAGAGAGAGAGAGGGGGAGAGAGAGAGAATTTTTTTTTAATATTTATTTTTTAGTATTTGGCAGACACAACATTTTTGTATGTGGTGTTGAGGATCGAACCCGGGCCGCACTCATGCCAGGCGAGCGCGCTACCGCTTGAGCCACACCCCCAGCCCTCTCTTGGGAATCTTAACAAATTTATATGGAACTTGAGGGAGATGGGCAGAGAAGGTAAAAGTTTTTTGGCATAAGCAGGTCATGGGGATTTCACCTGGGTTGAGAGAAATTGTATAGCAACAATAGTTGCAAGTGCCCAAGGAGAATGTAGGATGAACAGAAATATAATACAACACTTGATCATTTTAAAAGTAACATTTTTTTTTGTCAGAAGTGAAAGGAAAATCCATGTTAATAGGAAAATAAATCACAAAAAAGAAGGAAAAAACCTCCAGAGATAATATTTTGGTGGCTCTTCCTATTGTTTTTCTTTGCAGAACTTATCTGTACCTAGATGTAATATGAGTAGGTATGTAGTATATATATTTAAGTTGATATTGGACTATTATAGTTTTTTCTTGTCCTAATAAATCCTAAACATATTACATAATTTTCAGTATTAAAGGATCAAGTAAGTATTCACCTGTTAACATGGTTTTTAATGGTTGTATGATGAAATTCTGTTGCTGGATAAACTGTAATTTCTCAATCTCTCACCATTGTGCAGAGCAAATGAATTTTAGTAATATTTTAAACATCTCATCTGGATTATTTTAACATTCCATAGGTTATACTGTCATTTTTAATCCATTGGCATTCTTTATAAATTAGAAGTTTATTCTAGAAAATATAAAGGTTTAATATTGCATTATTGTACTGTTCTCTAAATGTCAGTTTCACAAAACCATTTTTTAAAAATTTTAATTTGTTATATATGACAACACAATGCATTACAATTCATATTACACATATAAAGCACAATTTTTCATATCTCTGATCACACAGTTGTTGTAAAGGCTTATTTAAAAGCTTTTGACTTGTATCTTTTTGGTAAAAATCATCATAAAGGTTTCACTTAGTTAATGCATTTTGATAAATGTAACTGCATGGGTGAATCTCAAATTATGCAGGAGCCAGAGTATGAAATGTGAAAGGAGGCAGAGTATAATCTATATAATTACATTTATATGAAATGTAAATTTCATAGAAAATTCTCACCCATCTGTAATGACAGAAAGCAGATCATTGTTAGGGGATCAGGGTGTTTGGATGGGAAAGGATACTTTGGAGGGACTACATAGAAGCACAAGGACACTTTTGGGAGCGATGTATATATTCATTGTTTTGATTGTGGTGCTGGTTTTGTGATTGTATACATATGTCAAAACATCAAATTAGATGGTTTTAAAAATTTTATTATTATTTTTGTGGTGCTGGGGATTGAAACCAGGGCCTTATGCAGGTGAGGCAAGCACTCTACCAATTGAGCTATATCCCCAGCCCTCAAATTATATGTTTTAAATATGTATGCTTTAGTATACTTCATTTATACCTCAGTGAAGTTGAACAATTCATTCGCTTCATACTGATTTAAAGTTCTGTCATTATGCTGGGTATGGTAGCACGTGCCTGAAATCCCAGTGACTAGTGAGGCTGGGGAAGGAGGATCACAAGTTTGAGGTTAGCCTTGGTAACTTATCAAGAACCTGTTTCAAAATAAAAATATTAAAAAATAAACTAAAAATAGGGTAAGGATGTGACTTAGTGGTAGATTGTCCTTGGGTTCAATCCTCAGTACCATACAAAAATTATTTTAAAAGTTCCATCATTATCTGATAATAGATTAAACGTCTCTGTGTGCATGTTTCTGTATCTTCTTCAACTATCTTAATCAAATATATTTGAATTTATATTTCTATGTCATATCAAGAATTAAACAGTATTAGTAAAGATATTGGGAGACTGTGGAAGCCATCTTGAAAAAATATTGATTGATTTATACTTGTTTACCAGGATAAACTCCCCCCAAAGCAGCTATGAGTCCAGAGGTTTTCCTTACCTTGGCCTTATCCTGAATGACCTATACTCAAGTTAAGCCTTGGCATGAATTAGGTGCAGGGCTCCTTTTCATTCTAGGGGATTTCCTGGACCTTGATTAGGACCAATGGGATGGAATTTACATGGAAAGCAGGTGCACCTTTTTTTGCTCTCACTATTCCTGGATTTCAGATAAAGTTAGACTTTGATCTTTCTGTCCCATGAAAGCAAGAGCTCGCTCGCTCGCTCGCTCTCTCTCGCGCGCTCTCTCTCTCTCTCCCTCCCTCCCCCCCCCTCTCTCTCTTTAAATGTGGATGATTTACCTTTTATTTTAAAAAGAATTTTTCCAAAATACATTTTGATATTAGTTTTCATTGCAAAATAATACATGCTTGCTACCACATATTCAAATAATACAGAAATGAATAAATTAAAAAGTGAAAGCTGGTCCCTGCCATTCTCCAACCTTT